TACTCCTTTCGACATTTAACCGAACAATTTGTGTACGGTTAAACATTTACCCACAATCTAATCATATTGAAACGATAATATACCCTTTCCATTTCTACATCAATATAACCAGTTCTAGCATTATAAACATCAAATATATCATAAATATGACAATATCAATCCGTAAACTTAGATATAAACACAGTTTATAACCGATCTAAACAATCCTAAAATAAACACTTTAATGAAACTAAATGAAACTTATACCTTTAAGAAGAGTTCGGAGAGTGGATTCCGAATATATAATTGTTGCCTCGATCCCCTTACTAACTTGACGTAAAATCTAGAGAGAAGACGAGAGAGAATTGTAGAGAGAGAAAATTGTAGAGAGAGAAAATGAGAGAGAGAATGAGAGAGAGTTGAGAGAGAGAGGCGGTTCATATATATATATATATATTTAATATTTTTTTTTTTTTTCCCACCGCCTCATATATATATATATAATATATAATATATAATATATATAATATATAATATATATATATATATATAGTTTAACTATTTGACGGTTTTTACCCTTTAAGTTAAATTCCAACTTTACGTCAATATAGGTATAAACACATTTTTGACGTAAAACTAGTCTAGGGTACAAATTGGTTAAGCATAGGGTACAAATATATCATGCATAATTCTACCAAAATTTTCTTACCCCAATTTGTACGAGTTAACGAAAACACGGATATTATAGGTAGTGACAATAGTAACATGGTTGTGGTGGGGCAAGTGGTGGACGGTGTTGGTTAAATTATGAAATTCAATTCCTTCACTTATATCATATATGATTTAATAAAATTTAAAGAACTCTTATATTTTTATTACAACTTTCGGTGCCGGTTCTTATGCATCTCTAGTCTCGATAATACTTCATATCTAACGGCTTACCAATAGTCGCCACACGAACAAACACCTTCACTAACATGATGAAACCGCTTTGCATCCCGGACAATTATTTCCCTTTTCTCGACAGTCGATACAAATTTGATAAACGTATGACAATCACCGCAAACCCGGAGATTCTTCGTCATACGGATTGGACTTTTCTCTGGTGTACTGATAATCCCATATGCAATTGCAAGCTTTTCACTGTGTGCATACAAGCTTCCCAGTTTAAGCTCCTCATTAACATCATGCAACACAAAATTTGTATCAGGAACATAACCACACAACTCCAACTTCTGTATCAAACTATCAAGTTTCTCGTAGATCGCCTTCGATTCACTATGTGTGTGATCACCACTGCAAAATCTGTGGAAATCGTTGCGTGCTTCAACCCATGTCCAACCAGGGGTCTTTTTCAAGTTTTGGCTAACCATTTGTGTCCGAATCTTGGCCACATTTTCCCACTTCCCGGCTTTGGCGTAAATGTTAGAAAGTGACACGTAGTGACTGGCATTGTGAGGCTGGATTTCAAGAAGAGATTCGGCTGCTTTTTGTGCCATTTCTACGTGATTATAGATTTTACAGGCTCCGAGTAACGCACTCCATAGACCTTCGTCTTTCTCGGCTGTCATATTTTCAATCAAATTGAATGCTTGATGGAGTCTTCCAGCTCGGCCCAAGAGATCAACCATGCACGTATAGTGCTTCACATCCGGTTTTATGAAGTATTTTTCTTGCATCTGCGAGAAAACCTGAAGGCCTTCTTCAACCAAACCGGAGTGACTACAAGCATAAAGAAGCGAAACAAAGGTGATTTTGTTTGGTGTGATTCCAGTTTTTGACATCATAGGGAACAATTCGAGTGCTTTTTGACCTTTCCCGTGATACCCATAAGCTGCAATCATCGTGCTCCAAGAAATAACATTCTTTTCTTTCATCCCATTGAATATCTCTCGAGCAGATTCAAGATTTCCACATTTTGCATACATATCAATCATTGCAGTTCCAAGAATCACGTCTAATGAGCGGTATTGTCTCCTTATAAGATCGTGCACATGTTTAGCCTTATGCATAGCGCCTAATTTTGCACAAGCATTTACTACTGTCACCATGGAAATCTTATCGGGCACAATACCAACTTCTTGCATCTGATCAAACAAAACTAATGATTCGCTAGCATTCCCACAAGCAGTGTAGGCACCGATCATGACGGTCCAGGTCGTAATATCTCTTTTCGTCATCATATTGAATAGCTTTCTTGCATCATCGATGACCCCACATTTTGCATACATGTCGACAATCGCTGCACAAATAAAAGTGTTCATGTTCAATCCAAATTTATGCACAATTTGATGAACCAATCTCCCCATTTTGAGATCCAATCTATCCCTACAAACTCTTACCACAGAGGGCAAGGTGTAAACATCTGGCTGTTCCCCAGACCTGATATATTCCCTAAATGTCTCAAAACATTTCTTATAATTCCCAGCCTTAGCAAATCCACCAATCATAACACTCCAAGAAACCGGGTTTCTTTCAGGCATTTTATCGAATAGGTTATAGGCATCATCCACTCCATTGTAACGTACATACATGTACAAAAGCTTGTTAAGTATATAAAGATCATTGAGCAAGCCATCATCATACAATTGGGTGTGAAGGGATTTAATCTGTTGCAGATTTTTACAGTTAATTAGGGCAGAAAGGTAGAATCTTGGGTCCAGAAATGATGATTCTTGAACTTGGGTACTGAGAATTGGGGTGTTGTGTTCATGGGATTGGCCATCATCAAGAACTGATAAGGGAGAAGCAACAGAGCAGAAAGTTTGGGATTCAATAGATATAAATGCAGTAATCAATCTTTGATTTCTGAGTTTGAACATTGAAGTCGACAGCTGCGTATGATTTTATGTATTTGGTAATACCGAAAGAGAGAAGCGTTGATGTACGATCCCAAAGCTATAAACAATATTTTTCTTATTAAAATTAAGAAACAATTTCAAAAAAATCAAATAAAATGTTTTAGTTATTAACTACTTTTTGAATGAAAAAAATCATTAAACTTTCTCATTTTCAATGATTTAAGTCCTTGAACTATTTTTTGAATAAAAAAATCATTAAACTTTTATATTTTGATCATATCCACACCCCATGAATTGCACTTAATACAAGAATTGATGTGATACATCTCTTTAGTGTTGATCTTTATCAGATATGATCCAAGGTTGAAGATCATTTCTTACTATTCTCACCATAAATTTCATTCTCACAAGAACACAACCCTCAATACAAATATATTTCATTTTGATACAATATTGAATACACCATGATTCAAAAGCCTCCAAGAGTGTATGATATCACACAACACAACAGAATAAAAAGGGATCTTGTTTCAGTCAGCATCTGCTGTCAAAGAAAAGCACCTGAATATGTTGTGATACAAGAAATGATTGAAATTTTCTCTCCAAGTGATGAACAATCTTACATTACTACATAATGCTAATAAAAATACACAACAAACCCATCTCTGAATCTGAATCCCAAGCAGGAATTATGTGAACCTGTCACACTATCCTCGTGTTTTCACTATACACACTAACAACTACAGATGGATCCTCATTGGTTGTTGATTTCTGCAAGGGGCGATCGCAAAGTAGCAGCAGAAATCTTGGGTCCCTTTGAATGGTTTTCCCTGAATTCCTCCACAAGACTTTCCATTGGCATTGCTCGAAGCGACTCTATACTCATCTTACTTGGGACATCACTCTCACATCTTACAGGAGTATCTCCAGATGCTTCATAATCCTGCTCAAAAACAAGCATTTCAGAATACCAACAAAAAGCTTATCCAATCCATAATCAGTATTATCATCTTACCATATATTTCTGCTGAAAAGTATCACAAGCTTTCTGCTGTATTGCACCAGATTGCGTGGAGTGATTCTCTCGTAAACTTTCAAGAACAGTGGCTTGAGCTTTTGTGGTTTCTAAAATTCCACAAACAGCCTCTTGTTCTTCTTGTGATGTAACTGTAAACAATATCCACAAATGGAACATGATTAGTGACAAATGGTTCATTGTTTGACACACCACCAATCAGCATATCATTTTTAACAATGCAACTACTTACTACAATCATTATAAAGTCTGCCAATTCAAACCATTGCCCCTTCCATGTTGGCAAGAGTTTTCAAGAAAAAATTCATGGGGAATAAGGACAGAATCAGGAACATTAAAACAGCAGAGTTGGTACAAACTAAAACATAACTAAAGCTAAAAGCATCCCCGCTACTGAAAACTATAATCCAACAAATGACTATCATTAACATTCCAGTTCATATATGTTGTGTTGATGCAACTTGGCATAGCATTTTAGACTGTCACGAGATATGAACATTAACAAAAGAATGATTGATGAACACTATATCATGAAAACCCCCTCTGAACAAATAAATGATAAGGCAAAAGACAACATATGATTCCACTAAACTTACCCTCCATGTGCTTAATGATGTCCATACTATTCTTCGACACATCCTCTTCAGCAGTGGCCCTTGCAAAACTAATCTCAGAAGCATGATGTTCATTGCTCCCAGAAGCACTTCTGCAGAGTTTGAACAAAAAAACATTTTACAGTTTGTTGCATTGCTCTATGATATAAGAATAGACGAGGGACCACGATTTTTCTGGAAGTAAAGAAACTATATAATTGTTCAAAAACTTAGACTAGAAAAGTGGGAATAACTCACGAGACAAGGATTTCAATTGCTGAGACGTGTTTTCTACCCATGTCAGTCACAGACTCATGGGTCTTTTTGGAATGCTTCAGTGCCATTTCAGTTGTATCAACACTGGAGGTAAAGGTTGGAAGGAACCATCAATTAGATAAGCGCTTCTAGTTAAGATCAAAGAAAGAAACTACGAATTCTGCCAAAGTATATTGCAGGGCATTTCCTTTTTACCATTTCTGTAGCAATAACTCAATGCGACAGTGTTTAGCAGCAGAAAATTCAGCACTGTCTTTTGCATCAGTTTCTGCTTGCAAAGAAAACTCTTGCCATTTTCTTTTGGCATCCGTTGTGATTCCTTCGATCGAAGAAACATGCCCATCCAGAACTGTCTTACTTCCAGCAGCAGTTTCTCTGATACCAGCTAAACGTGCATCCACCTGTAGGTTTAACCATCAACTACATTTAAACAAAAACATAAAAACCGAGGACAGGGGAATTATAATAGAAGCAAACAAACCATCTCTTTTTGACGACTGATATGATTTGAGACTAAGCTTGTAACATCAGCAATAAGCTTCTGTGCATCAGATTTTGATTGCTCCTGAAGGAATTTATACTTCAAAAGTTAGAAATGAACAAACAACCTCAGTATATCCCACGCGGAGGTGGGGTCGGGATGGGATGTACGCAGACCTGTCCTCTACCCAGACAGTACAGCTACCATTCCATGAATACCTTCGGCTTGCAAAAGGTGTTATTTCACATCTGCATTGTTTTTTAACGTACCTCATATGCCTTCTGAAACTCTTCAATACTCTTTGTTTGTATCTCATCGACTTGATTAGCATGACTTCCCAGATCTTTGGATTCTTCCATCAGCTTATCGAAAATACCATGAATGAACTCGGATATATTTGTTGTGTGGTGGATGCTGACATTATATCTCTGAAATATTTTGAAGATGCCAAATCCCATTTAACGTAAGAAAATTAAGCATATAATATTATTCTTCAGAGATCATAGATCAAAAGGCAACAAGAGAAATAAAAACAGAAGGTCAGCAGGCATCTAGCCTTTTTCACACCCAGTGAAGATAATACACTCACTCAGAAACCATGCATGCATAAAAGCTTAAAAAATTTAGTTCAAAACTTTTAGATAATCAAATTTCAGATTTTGGGGGAATGATATAAACAAGAAAGCACACCTTTCGGAGCTCTCTAGCAAAAAGTGCAATCTCTCCTTGCTGAGTTGATAAAGAGCCATGAAGCTCATCAAATATAGCATGTCCTTCTGTAGCTTCTTCAGCTAAGAGCTAATAAAAAGAATAGTCAGATTGTGTACTGATTTAAGTGTAGAAACAAGTCTTATGAATGCTATAATTTTTTGTACTTACTTCTTCAACACAATGAGCATTAGAAGAAGCCAAGACTGAAATATCCTCTAAACTTCCATTAGCACTTGCTTTGTGCAAACGTACAACATTTTCCAGTGCCTCAATGTGAGAAATATACAAATTCCTCGATGCAGATACTTTTTTCTTCAAGTCTGTGATGGCCTAAATCATAAAAACAATTAAAGCTACAAGAAAAACGATCAAGTAAACTTGTATGCATCGAACCACAAAAAAATGTGTAATAATTCTGGACAAAGAATTAACATTAGGCAACGTGTTTTCTTCTTCCTCCGGAAATTGTGCTAGAAGCCTAGAATAGAAAAGGTAAACAAACCCTTTTGACATTTGAGCTTTCAAAGATCAATTCGTTTCATTACCATAAACGTTGAGGCTATCATGCCTGGCAGTCAAGGAAAGACTAAATATGTCGATGACAAAAGATTGGACATATAGAGTATCCCATGCCACAAATCAAGCAGTACCTGATCATTAATGTTGATGAAAGTGTGACAAAACTTCTCGATGCACTGAAGCTGTTCGTTTTGCTGAGATATAGATGCAGCCACCATGTTGCAAAGAGAGCCAACATCCCGGGCAAGCTCAGACTCGAATTTATTTACAACTGACCTATTACCAGCATTCAGTTTATCCTCTCTTGCTGCATAAAGTTGAGAAGCAAATAGTAAGAGATCCAAACAGAAGTTAATAGAAAAACATGACCATATACATATATAAGAGAATGCATACCAATCTTCATAAATAATGATGCATTGTCCTGAAGAGCTTTCTCTAAGTCAGATCGAAGAACACATGCTTGATGAGCCAACGCATTCTCTGTATCCAATATTCAGCTTGATGTAAAAGATGCAAAGTGACAAAAACATTGACACCAAAAAACAATCAGATATACCTGCTTTTTTCTGTTCATATATGATAAAATCTCGCTCCTTGAGAGCATATTGACATCTCTTCAGTGTGTCCTCAGTATTAGCTAACACCTTATTGGTTTGGTTCAAGTTGTTCTAGGGAGAAAAAAGAAAAGATAATGGAAAAGGCAGATATTCATCAAAGATACCATAAAGAATCCCACAACAATGCAGTCAATGACAAGTTGATTTACCTGTGTCGACTCAAGTTTGTTGCTCAGATCAGTGCACTCCTCTACCCGAGCATTAAATTGAGTTTGCAATTCCTGAAATTGCTGTATTTGAACCAAAGAGTAAGCAAGAAAGAGATTGCAGCAACACCTGAACTACATGACCAAACATTAGTTTGCTCCTAGCACACAAATACACTAAAATAACAGTTACCTTTTGTTGGTTTTCTATCTTAATTCCCATTTGTTCGATCTGATCTGCCATTGCCTATACAAAAATAGCATCATAAGAATAGGTGCATCTGATGCAAACCTCAAATGGGTGCATCATAAGTTCGTTGTAGAAAATGAAGATAGAAAACAAGGGTAAAACAGAAATTCTCAAAATAGCTCCATGGTATTAAAAATTACTATGATGTGATACATCCTAATGATAATATTAAGGCCAAAAATTGCAGTACCTTTCTTTCCACTTCCTCTTGGTAATATCGCTCTTTTGGTAGATAAACACCACTTTTCTCACGGGAAGCATGAACCTCTGAAAATTTTCACAAAAGATACAATTACCAACTCATTCGTCCAAATTATTTCCCATCCAAGGCATTATCAAAAATGCAGCTAAATTACCAGCTTTGAGTCTTTCAATTTCACCATAAAGATCCTTGATTAGAGTTGTTTTCATCATCTTCTGATTTACCTACAGATACACAAAAATAACATAAATTGAAAATGGATTAGATTGTTTGGTCAGTAAAACCACCAAAAACTCAAAAAAATAAACTGTAAAATAATCAGAATGCTTAAGCATTTCAAGGTAATCCATCACACAGAAACTCTCCCAAAAAATTATTTTACTTGGCAACACATGACAATACCATCTCAGATATAGTATAGAGATGCTATCCTGACTAGAGTTCAAGACCAAGATGACTACATAAGAAGCAAAAGGATAACACAGAAGAATGGATATCAAATTCCATGTTTAACTATAGACTAAAACACATTAATGAATATGAAGTGAGAATTCAATTGACAGATACGTAAAGCAAGATTAAGAATAGCCCAATTAGTGTGTAGACAGTGGCAATACCTCTGGCTTGTTCTTTATATTTTTTGCCCTGTGGGCATAATCTAATGTGCTCAAGGTCTCTTCCAGACAATGAACAGCAGGTGATACAGTGGCAATGATACATGTTTTGGTCCTTCCACCCAATGAGTCACGAAGTAGACGAGTGAGCTTGCTATCTCTGGAATTTAAATTACCACAGAAAATTAGCATTAGAAAAGGATATATATATATATATATATATATATATATGAAAAGGAGAGAGAATATATAAAAGTGGTTCCAAAATATTATCAATTTAAAGCTCAGAAACATTATCCACTTCAAAAAGAGCATAAATAACTGAAGGGGAAGGAAATCTAGACAATTCAGGAAATAAGCCAAACCTATAAGGGATGTGCCCAAGATGCTCCACTAAAGCATTTATTACTCGTCCCAAAGTAAGTAAACTTTTATTAATTTCTCCAGCCTCTCTTGCACGGCCCTAAAAAATTACAAACTTAATGAAAACCAGAGGAATACAGAAAGAACTATAACACGAAAAGGCAACACAAAAATTCACCACAATTGTTAGCACATAGCATACTCATAATTTGAAAATGAAAACTCAAATAATAGTCAATGAAGATTTGTTGAATTTATTACCTCCCTCGCACCTGAACGAGAAATGTTTTCCGAACCAGCTAAATCAACCAGATTCAGTTTGCCACATTTGATAAGTTCTTCACCTTCTGGGGTTGACTCTTTAATGTGTATTGTAATAGAAAAAAGTGAATGTGACCGACTGAAACATAAGAGATAGCCTTACAGGTAAGGATTATGAGTTATTAGGATTTTTGAATAGCTTGCAGAAAAAACTGTAACCTTGATTGTTTATTTAATAAGGTCTCTGCAGTTCGACGTTTGGCAGAACCCCTCTCAAGTAATGTGAAAATCTCACTAGCACTAGTTACAATCTCCTCTTCCAAACCTCTCACAAGAACTCCACCTTTGCCATCTTCCATGAGTGGCAATAGTTTTTTCTGCTTATCCTCAACACCAAGTTTTGATATCTCTTCTGGAGCAAGCAAGTCGGTAATTTCCTCATTATATAGCTCTAAGAAAGTTACTTTAACACTATACTCCGCATTCTGACCCTCCAATGTGTCAAATATTTGTTGCACAGATCTAGGTATTACACCTGCTTCTGGTGGCAGCTCTCCATTAGGCCCACTCTGAGAATACATTACCAATGCATTATTAGATATTGAAACAAAGAATTAATACATGCTTTAAGGCTAATGTAAGTTTAAAATATAATACCTTTGACCTCTTACATTCTCCTTCCATAGTATAAGTTTTTCCTGTGCCTGTCTGTCCATAGGCAAAAATGGTGCAATTGAATCCTTCTAAAACTTCATGTACAATTGGAATAACAGCTTGTTCATACAAGTCTTTTTGCTGGGCTGTAGGACCAAAAACCTGCATATATTCAGAAAACCCATAATCATTGATTGCTCATCTAATAACCAGCCATTATCAACCAAAAGTAAGTGAGAATAACCAGTATTGGTCCATGCAATAACTGGAGTTTTTTTGTTTTTCTTGGATCTATGATCCTCCCTCTCTTTAAAAACAGACATGGCAATATCCTAATAGGGATGCCCTAGAATAAATGCAATGCATCCCTTTTAGTAAGTTCCAATACAAGACTACATTCGCATTGGTAATAATAACAAAATATTGATAAATTTGACTTTCATGGGCAAGGTTTTGTTTGGTTATTTTTTATATTAAAGAGTTTACTTGTTAAATGATGGTGACTCCTAAAAAATTCAATAAATAGTCAATTCATTATTTTGTAATTTATCATGAGTAATTGTGTCAGAAATATAGACTCTGAACTAGTGATCATCCATTTGAGTCCAATTCCTAACATGGTGTATGACTATTTTCTTTGTTTAGCGTTCCCTTCGCTTGGGGAAAAAAGATAGATCAAAATTATTGCCTTCAACCCCGTTTAGGAATTTGAATTGGAGTTCTTTTTTAAAACTAATGACTATATGATACTGCTAAAAGAAGAGTCTCTCCAATTATGATATCTCAATTCTTGAATGGTTTTACTATGAAGCTAATATGATATTATTATTATTATTGGATCCCCACATCCAGTAGTCACCAACCAACACACCTTTATACATGTACAGATCTCCCCTCTCTACGAAGGCTCTTTTAGAGAGAGAATCAAAGGTTCCACATACAAGGCATCAAAGCTGGCATCTAATACCACCTAAGGACTTGGTGGACTCTTTCCGCCTCTGTTTGAGGGGCATGTCAGAGTCCCACATCGGCTAGATACAATCCATCAAACTCATATATATGTAAGAACCTCCTCCACTTTACAAGGACTCTTTTAAATAGAGATTCAAAAAGGTTGCACATATCCAAACATATCACCAAAGCGGGCGTCTAGCACCTTGGGGGCTCACCTACACCCAATCTATCCTAGCCTCCATTTGAAGGGCGTGATGGAGTCTCAGGTCGGCTAGCCACAGTGATACGACTCACATGTATATGTAGGGTTCTCCCCTATCTCTTTATGATTGTTTTCTTGGAGAGGGAATCAGGGGTCTTCATATATAAAAGACAATGAGCCATCCTCTTGTCTACATATCTGGTTAAATAGACCAATTGAAACAAAGGTGTAAGGCACGCCCTTAACCTTTTCTTCATTAACGAGTAAAGGAATAAATTGAAATAGTGAACCGTATCACTCGACTCATAAACTTCAAAAAGATTCACACAAAAACGAGAAACGGCTTGCCCAAGTCTATAAATCCCCAATCCAGATGCGATTGCAAATGCACATCATCGTAAATAGTGTTACCTTGTCAAACGTAAAAACCCTATCTATTTGTTTCCCAGCAATGCTCTGTGAAACCGCAACTTCCCTCTGATACTCGTTACAAGTCACCACCTGAGGTGCATTGTTCTTCACCTCATCGTTACTAAACGGCCTACCAAACAAAACAACGATACATTTCAATACACAAATTACCACACAAAAAATGATTTCAAAACAGATTTGAAAATTACAATACCCATCAAACCCTAAGAGAGCTTTTACTTCTACCTTCAATAAGAAGAAAGAATAGAGAGTAGAATAAACACTTCAGTACCTGCAACGTAATAGCACTTGGACATTGACGCCTTTCTCATGGCGACCGGACATTTTACACACAGATTCTGCGCGCAGGTGTGTGAAAGAGGGAATTTTGCAGCTTGCTTTGCTTCGATCGAATAATGGTTGCCTTCTCTCTCCAAAACAGTTTGATTCGATGGAAATGAAAAGCAGCGGGATGAATCGGGTGTTTTGAATTTTTGAAGGACCGCTCTCCACTTTCGATCTGGCTGTTCAATTATGAGGAGTTTGATCTGACGGTGTCTGTGTTGTCGAAAGATGAGTTGACGAAATTGCCCTTTCAAGAATTTTTCCTTTGTTTGTTTTAAAAAAAAAACTCTTATTTAACATTTATGTTTGATTTTTTTAGAAATAGGGTTATTTAGACCACTTGTTTTTCTAACTTCCAACTTTATTTGTTAAGAGATAAACCAATATATTATTTGCTTTTTATTGTTTTCGAAACCTTTAGCAACAACGTTTTTCAATTAATTAACCTTAATCGATCATTTTTCTTAATTAAGCATTCCCAAATCAATCCTCACATCTCTTAATTGATGTATTTTAATAGAATTTAAATGTATTAAATACCGTTAATGACATATTTTCGTTTAAATGAATGTTAATTATATAATTTAAATATAAATTTCGTAATCATGATGAATAAATATGTGAAATTGTATAAATTTATCTATAAATTCAGTATTATAATTTTCTCATCGGTAAAATAGACAATTTAAATAAATTCAGACAATAATCAGTTTACAAAAACAAATAGTATTATTGATTCAGACTTCAGCACCATCTCTTATTAACCATATATGAAATAAGAATTTAAACTTCAGTATCTCTTAAAAAATAAATGTCACCTTAAACTATGTTTACGAAGAAAATTATAAAAAAAACAAAAATTCGCATAACTTAACAAAAAAAAATATATAATCGATATATTATATGTAATGATTATTTAAAATCATAAATAATATTTTTTTTTAATTATTTTACCAAATTAATAATCAATTTGAAATTCTTATAATCGATATATTATATTTTTTACCATCCGGTTTGTATTAGTTCATGCATTATATTATTAAAAATTTATTTCAATTGTATTTTGAACTATTATAGTTGATTAAATTTTCAAGATGCTTTTTTTATTCATTTTATATTCTTATCAACTAGTTTTGTTAAACATTATTTGTTTATCAGCTATTTTACCAAATATAGTCTTATACAGTTAAAATTAAATTTGTAAATGAATTAAAGTTGTTTGATTCCTTTGTAGGTTGTAGTTTCAAAATTTAAGTGAAATAACAATAATGGCTAAAATACATTTTTTATAAATAATTTTGTAAAACTACCATTTACGTTTTCTAATTTCGTTTTAGTGTTTAGATGTTCTCCATCAACAAAAGTTCATCATCTTCCTTGTGGACGTACAACGCCATACTTGTGGCGGAAGCACGTAAATCTTTTGTGTCTTCTATGTTTTTTTGTAATTATTTGGTTGATTGTTCGTTGTGCTTTCAATCATACTTTGTTTTCCGCATTACTTGTTTGTTGGCATCACATACTTAATTACCGTTGAATGTACTTTTTTTGTGTGACACCCAAAAACGTGTTTAAGTATGAAAAGAAAAGGGAGAAGAAAAATAAAATAAATTGATTTTTATTTTATCGAACCAAAAGATGCGAAGAAAAACGTGAAAATGGGCCAATCATGCCATTTAATGAAAGTAGAAGTGAAAAAAAAGAGTTCATGTTCAATCCGACTAAAAAATGAAAGAAAATGTCAAGTCATGATAAAAAAAAATGTAATATTGGCCAAAGTTTTGAAGCCAGGGGCAAATGTCATTATTTGATAGTTCAGGAGGTATGTCGACGTCAACTTTCTCATACTTGAGGGACCTGTTTTATGAATAGGAAAATTTTGATTTCTTGAAAGCCACTTGACATGGTTGAACTTTGAAGGCTCCTGCTCACCAGGGCAACGAAAGAGACAAAAAATTCATATTTAAGTAGCCGCTATCACCAACTATATTTTTGTTCGATAAATTTTAGAAAACGATGAGAACGGGAGAAAAATTGGACAAATGTCAATTCGGCAGTTCGTCCCCCTTCCTATGAGTTCCCTCATCTTCTAATCGAAGTATCAGTTTTTGAGGATTGAGGGCAAGACACTCAACCAAATTTCAAGTTATTTATATGTTTAGATTCCCTTTTCAGTCCTCAATCGAACCTTAATAATCTTATGTATCAGATTTTGGTTTAGAAGGTGTGATTTTGAGTTTTTTTTTTTTTTTTACAGATTCTCAAGTGGTTATAAAGCATAAACTTTATGAGAAAATGAGATTCAATACTTGATGATTTTGTTTATTCTTGTTCCTAAGATTAAGGAAAATGATTTTCTAAAACTTTAGCAAAAGAATCAACAAAAATGTTTAAAAAAAACGAGGCCGACGGGTTTAGGCGAGTCTAGGCGCAAGCGTGCAACCGACGAGTTCGGCCGGACGTTGGCATTGGGCCGGCAGATCTGGGTCGGTCGTTGGGCCATAAAGTTTGTTTGAGGTTTGAGCCATGTATGTTGGAGTTGGACACATGGACTTGGTCCTTTAAACGGAGTCCATTAATTTATTTTATTTAAGTTTTATTTCATGTATAAATGTATAATAAATTAATTTTGGGCTACTTAAGGATCGTTTATCAAACACTTACCTGGTAAATGTTTAACGGTAAAATTTAATACTATTATGTACTTACCAAGTAAGATTTTTAGTCCACCAAAATGACATCGTATGCAACAATTTACTCGATAAGCGCTTACCGTAGTAAGAATCGTCGCCCTCACTTACCGGGTAAGACTTTTGGTCTTTGTTTCGCTCTTACTGTGTAAGATTCTTGATCCTTGTCATATTCATCTGGTCCGATAAAGTAATGTGATTTGGAAAGCGCTTACCCGGATGGACGTTTGATAAATGACCCCTTAATTTTTCTTAGTTCGGTCACGATGATTAGGTTTTTGGACCCAATAAAATTATTTAGGTTCAGATTTAATTATATTGTATAAGCTATATTGGTTGATTAAATTTATTTCAAAATTTTACTAATATGTTATTTAATTAATATAATAATTTATTTTAAAAAATTAATATTAATTAATTAATTCCTTTTCTAAGTGACTTATTAAATTATTTAATAATTTAATATATGCTTGAAATATGGACGGATCTAGATTTGTGGTATAGGTGGCACGTGCCACCGTATTATTTCTCCGCCAAAAGGTAAAAAATTAGGTTTCGTGAACGGTGCAACCGTATTAATTTGTTGTGCCACCGTATAGATTTTGAAACTACAATGAGAACCAGTTTTATTTGGTAGAGTTGGTTTGCAAGGCTTTTATTCCACCCCACACCCAAGTTCAAATCCTGTTAGTGTCATTTTCTTAGTCAAATGGTGTCATCATTTGGAAAAAATTATGTATATTTGTTTCATATAGTAAAAATATGTCACCGTTTGAAAAAAAATTCCAATTTTTTTTTCTTATGGTCAAATGATGCCACCATTTGAAAAAAATTATGGGTCCGTCCATGGCTTGATATTACTAATTGGAAGACACGTTAATATGGAACAAAAGTTTCCTTAGTTGTTAAAAGAATAAATTAATGTTAAGAGTCCTTATCAAACGTAATACTTAGAGGATTATTAAATTGTTTTGATGATTTAATAATGGGATTAAAGTATCGCAATTTGAATTAAATTTTTATTGAGACACTTTAATTTGGAGAGATGTATTTATAAGATTCTAAAATTATTATTTTTGTTGGGACGCCATTGAGATTTAGACTTAGGGTTTAACTAAAGTTAGTAGAGGTTGACTGAGTTGACCAATGACTGACTTTTACCTTGTTTGATCCACAAGGGTTTTAACGGATCAAATGGGGATATTTGAGATATGAAGAGATTCGATTTTGGGGTTTGGCTTTAGGTCGGGTCGAGTTTGCCCATTAATGAGATATTATGGTATGAAATGTGTAGGTTTTCAATCAAGAGCTATCGATAATGGATAAAATGGACAAGTGAGTCTTCATGAGACTTACAATGAGATGCATACCTATATATGAATGTATTTTTTAGCATGATATGATATGTACGGTGATGTTCACGTATGTATGATGTTTTAGTTTACATACATGGTACAATATATTTTGCATGTGTGTTATTTATGATCAGTTGCATGCTATGTGTTCATTTTGTTTTCAGATAACTCTAGCATGTTGTTTCATACGAAATTTTTTACAATCAGTTTAGTGGGTGGACATTTGGCCTGTAAGTTACACAACAAGTGACACAACCTAGACAAGTGGGTGATTAAATAGAACATGCAGATCAAACCAGGACGTGTAAGTGATTAAATGACTCATACCCGACCGGACAATTTATGACAATTTATTGGATGGGCATTTGACTTGTAAGTCAGATGACAAGTAGTATAACCCGAACAAGGGGCGATCGAATATAACAGACAGGTTAATTTTTCTAATTCTCATGTCTTCTTACTGTTCACCAATCACATAAAACCATTACTAAAACCGACCCTAATAGGAAAAAATGTAAGTTCATATTGTGATCGAGTAAAAGTTTAATTTTTCTAATTCCCATGTCTTCTTACTGTTCACCAATCACATAAAACCACATCGTCACTTTATCGAGGAAAAATGAATTACATAAAAACAATAAAGTGTATTCAAATAATTAGTAAGACAAAAGAAAAATAAAGGATTTGGAGACAACGACTCTTTATTCTATATGATTGGGTTTCAATAAAAAAATACGATTAAAATGTTGTATTTTATAATTTATAAAAGAAAAAAGATATTTTATATTAAAACAAATTAAAATATTTGAAATTCTTCCATATCTCAAAAGCCGAAATTCCTAAGTTTTTGAATTTTAATACCTCAAACTAAATTTTGTTACTGAACAAAGTTTACGGAAAAAAAAACCAATAATGGTCTTACCAGCTAAAATAATATCAATCGTGATTAAGTTTG